CTTCACCTTAGGCGGAATATCTCTCCTGATTTTTCGCACGGCGGTCCGCCGGGAACTTGAAAAATATGTCTGTGGGTTCCGCAAGCGGTACGTTCGGTACGAAAGTAATTTCTTGAAGAGGTAGTTGGTCGGATTCAGCTCCTCCAACTCCTCCCATCGCGGCCCGCGCCGCGTCGCGACATCTTCGGGCTCCGCGTCCTTGTCTCTCGGCGAGGCGGACGAAGTGACTCCGCCTCGTCTGGAGGAAATTTTCTTGCTTGACGAATTTCCGTTTCCTTCTTCTGAACGGCGTTCGGAATCACCGGAATGGTTCGACGAACCGCCGTTACCATCTTCGGAGGGACCAAGCGACTCCGACTGTGAGTCGCCGTTCTCCGGATCGTCACTACAGTGACCCTTGCTTGTACGTCGCTTGTCCTTCTTCGAGGGCTTCGACTTGGAACTCCGCTGCCGAGCGGGCTTGTCCTTCTTCGACCGACGGTCGCCCTCTCTACCTGAAGGGAGCGGCTCGTCGTCCGATCCTTGCGAAGCTTGATCCGTGGCCTGCTCAAGGTCCTTGAGACGTTGCGCGGCGCGATCGAATCGGTCATCGATGCTTGCTCTGAATTTTCCTAAGGACTCCAAGGCTTGATTCGCGTCTCGCCTCGCGTCCTTGACCGAAATTTTCAACGAGGCTAGGACCTCCGGCTCCAGACCGTCGGTCGCCTCCCCTCGCTCCTTCTCGACGAGATCCACTCGAGCCGACAGCTCTCCCAAAACGGTGTGGAACTCGGATGCTTGCAACTCCAGTTGCTTCCGGACGAGGGGTAATTCAGCCTCGAGATTTTTCTTCGCTTCTTCGCGAATTTCGCTGCTCATCTTCTCCAACTTCTCGTCGAGTTCAGTCTTGTCGGCGGCTATCCCCGTAGGGGATTCTTGATCTCCGGGGTCCGTGGCCGTATTGGCCTGGCTCCGGGTGCGAGGACCCCTCGGGATCCTCGACGCTCGTGCCGATCTGCTTCTACTCGCCCCGGGACCGACGTCCCGTGGTGCGCTTGTTGACATCGCTCGTACAAGCGGACCTACACAGCAAAAAATTACAAACAAAAATAAAATAAAAAAAGAGTCCGTTACCCAGACCAAATTCCTTGTCGTAGATAAAACAATTTCTAGGTCGGGAGACCACTTTTGTAGTGCAATGCGCCTGTTAGGCAGAGACCAAGGTCCGATGGTACAACACAAACAACAGCAACAAAAACAACAACTGCCAACGGCACAGCGCTACGGAGTGTTCGAAGCTCCCTGTCCTCTTTAAGCAGATTTGCGGCCTGCAGTAGCTCGGATCCCTGATAGGGGGGGGCAAAGAGAAGGGCCCAGCCCGGGATCGATAAATGGTGGTAGAGACTTGTAAAGGCAACTGCTCGACGAGTTCGGAGGGGTGTTTAGGTAAACCTGGTCCGATGGGTCGTAAATCCAATGCTCGAAGAGCGCCTTGTACACCTTATACCCTTGATAAGGTCTTCGACGGGGACGTCGCAACGTAGCCCGTCGGGAAAGAAGAAAACGTAGCAGCGCTACACCGTCGTACTGCCCGATAGCAAAGTACCAATAACGGATCGGTCGCAACCAGATTCCGATGGAACCAACACTGAGATAAGCACCACTGGTGTACCAACACAAAAGCCCGATGGCAAATGACGTCACGTGGCGGATCGCAATCCTACAAGGTGGGACCAACTCAAGATTAAGGGAAATTAGGATAGGGAAATAAAGGAAAATTGATGAGGAAAAAGGGGACCCCCGAGCGCAAAGGATAAAGTAATCTGTAGTTGAAGGGAATGTCTTGTAAAAGACGGACTTCAACCAAGGCGATATCAGACTCTGGCAACTCGGGTTACCTTTACTGACTTGGTGGTCAGAGGGCTAAGGTATATATCGCCCGGCCGGAGCCACTACAGTAGCTCTCGGGGCTAGATCCTAGATCTAATCTAATGTTAAATAACTAATATGCAACTAATTAAAATTAATAATTAAAATAATAAAGTGAAATGATTTCCACTTTTGCCTGTCATACCCCATCATTTTCATTTCTTTTCACCCCCCTTTTCAGGTGCGTATTGCACTACAACGCGTACACGTGCCACAAGGACGGCAATTTCCGCCCAATTTTTTCAATTTCTTGGAAAGCGGCGGCGGACTCTCTCTGAAGCAGCGTCGCGTGATATTTGGCATACAGTGTTCCTCGGTGGCCTTTTGAGGTGGCACTGCCGACTGACGACGGAGTCAGCATTACGGGACAGTGGCCATCGGACATATTACTGTCGGACTGGAGTGGCGTCCGTTCGTCTGCACCCTCTCCCCTTGCATTCGCGTAGAGGTACGAACCGACGCGAAGACACCAGCCCTTCAAGGCTATGCTCACCGCGATGAAGCCTTTCGCGTCTCTGCCACCACGTCGCGCTTCCTTCTCCCTCGTTCCCGTCTGCCTTTTGCACGGGAATGGGATAACGAGGCATCCTCCCCAAAAGGAGCCGACGCGCCTATGCGCAACTCATCGGGTTATCAAGCGACCATACGGGTGATCTCGCCTCACCTCGTCCCATCCGTTCTTACGAGGGACGTTACTCTCCAGGCAGTACGTACTGCCTGGTGTTTAGGTGTTGCATAGTTGGCCTTGGTCTGTCAGTACGTCTTGACATCTTCGCACCCTCTTGACTTTGCCGGTATCTCTTTCGTTCCTTAGGGGATCGTTCACCTCGTTCTCTTGCTTGACGCTTCACGACCTATTTTGTGATACAGTACGTTATGTCTTCTCTTTGACGGCCCTTTGGCGCAGCTCACTGAAGAGCCCCCATAGTGAAAAGGGATTCGGATCCCTTGTAGCCAGTCTGGAGCGTGAGTGGGCTCGTGGGTCCAGGATGTTGCCCGCTGTTTGAGGGACTCGGTGTCCCCCATCAATAACGGCCCTATCGTGGACGATCGCGCGTTCTTTGGACCTCTCGGCTCGAGGTTGCTGGACTGAACGGAACGTCCAGTGACTTCGAGCCAGAGATCGTCTAACCCTTCAGCTATCAAAGGGGTACTTGGGGTCCTCGTAATGTCGGTCATTACGAGGGCCTAACATTTTTTTCAGGCTGTTCGTACTGTCCTGTTCTTATGTCCCGCGTCCTTGACGTCTGAGAAGTCAATACGACTTGACTTTAACACGTCCCCGGCTGTGACCCTCCGATAGGGTCCACCGTCCTCCTTTGCTTCCCCTTTTAGTCTGTTCGTGCAGGCTGGGGTTAATCCGCGAAGAAGCGGTTGAGGGCCCCCCTTAAGCGTGAACGTCCGCGTTCACGGTTTGGGTGAGGCCTCTGCCGGTACGTCTCCGGAGGCGTTGGGCGTAACGAGACACCAACTGCTCCAAGACGTGAGTCCGCGCAGTCCAAGGGGGCGCGTCGTAATCCGCCCACTTGATGAGGAACTCCGTAGTTCCGTCTTCCATGAATCGATGTCTCAGTAGCTGTTCGACGGCATACTGCGTTCTCGCGGTGACCTTATCGGCGAGGTCCCGCGGGGTCGTCGTATTTGCTCGTGGCGCGTCTATCGGAGATGGCGCGTACACGCAGCGGTCGGCGGAGACTCGCTCGGTGACCCCATCACGATCGATCGTGATGGTTCGGCCGTCATTGGCGAGCACGCGGTAGGGTCCGACAGCGGGCGAGGCGAGCTTGTTCGACGTCTTAGCCGCATTGGCGGGGTTGATATATACGTATTCTCTGGGACGGAGCCGGGAATTAATAAGTCGTATGGGCTTATCGAAGTAGCGCTTGTAGCGAGCCTGCGTGCAACGCAGGCTCCCGTAGGCCTTTTGGATAGTCGAGTCCAAGGTCTTGAGGAACTCGGCACGTTGGTTCCCCCTATCGGAAGGGGGCGCGTCGCCGTCAGCCCGTCGGAGAGAGAACTCCGGCGGTGGCTTGCTGAGCACGAGCTCAAACGGCGTGGTGCGTGTGGTGCGATGTACTTGGGAGTTGTACGCATACGTAAGCGGCCCCACGTACACATCCCAGTCGTCCTGATGTTCACCCACGTAGTTCCGCAGCATCGAGGCGATTGTTCGGTTATATCGCTCGACTTGCCCGTTCGTCTGGGGATGGTACGGTGAAGTGTACAAATTCGTTATCCCCAGAACGCGGCACGTGCTGTGGAAGAACTTGGCATTAAACTGAGGACCGTTGTCGGAAAGCAACGTGCGAGGGACGCCATACTTGAACACCCACGAGTCGCAGAACGCAACTGCGACCGTGTGCGCTGTTATCGTGCGGAGCGCAACGACTTGCGTTAGCTTACTGAAGCGGTCCGTAATCACGAGCAGGAACCGTTTTCCTGTCTTCGTCTTGGGGAGCGGCCCCAAGATGTCGATCGCGAGGCTCTCGAGGGGCCTCGTAGCTGGAAACAATCTCAATCGGTTGAGATGTTTCCTCAGCTTCACCCGGTTCATCGCGCAGGTTCGACACCCTCGCACCGTGGCTGCCACGTCTGCAGCCAGGTGGAGCCAGTAGTACTCTCGTCGAAGTGCGTAGTACATACGGTTCTGGCACGGGTGCCTTGCATTGGCTGGGTTGTGGCACAGGCAAAGGAGCCTGGCGCGGAGCGTCCGAGGCACCACCACCTGTACGGTATCAGCATCGAAGGGGTGTCTCCGTTTGAGCACCCCTTGGTGGTTCTCGAAGAACGCGGAGTCTCGAAACTCGGACTGTCGTGCCAAAACGGTTTGACAGAAGTCATCCACGCGTTGCTCCTCGGCTATCTCCTCTATCGTAAGAGGGGCCGGAAGTTCGTCCTGCGGTGGGGCGACCGGGGAGTCGAGCGCGCCAGCCTCCGGGTCTTTGGCGCGTTGGATGTCGGCGGCGTCCAACTCGTCGTTCTCCTCCCAAACGAATTGGGTCCTTGGAGAGCGGGGGCTTCGTCGTCGCCTCTCGGTTCGTCGCGCGTCCGTACGCGCGACCTTGTTCCGGCTTCGGCTTGATTCCGTGTCGTTACAAAGACATGGACGGCCTGATGATCGCAGCTCGCGGTACAAGCGTGGTCCGCGAGCTCGTTCGATACGTCTCGAACTGTCGTGCCCCCTTCGAAAGTGGGGATGTCGTCATCCACCTCGACGGTGGGGCGAGGGTCATCGGCGACCTTCTGCGACACAAGTCGTGACAGGGCATCGGGCACCTGATGCACGGGTCCGGGGCGGTACTGAATGGTGAATCGTATTCAGCCAGACGTAGCCGCCACCGGTTGAGTCGTCCGGAACTGTCGGTGAGGGACATGAGCCATCGGAGGGCGTCATGGTCCGTCCGTACTGTCAACTTCGTGCCTTCTACGTACGGCCGTAGTGTGCGGACGGCCCAAACTACGGCGAAGCACTCGCTTTCGGTAGCGCTGTAGTTGCGCTCACTATCGGACAGTGAGTACGACCAATACCCCACGGGGCGCCAGTCGTTCGGCTCTTCGTGCTCCTGAAGTAAGGTGCAGCCGAGTTGGTAGGCACTCGCGTCGGTGTCTATCATGTGCGGACGACCGTGCCGGGGCAACGCGAGGATCGGCGGAGCGATCATGCACTTCTTAAGGTTCTCGAACGCCTGAAGCTGCAGGTCCGTGGGGTTATACAAATCAGGATCCGAATCCTTGCGCGTCATGTCGGTCAGAGGACGCGCAATCTTAGCGAACCCGTCAACGAATCGGCGGTATACGTTACACGCCCCGAGGAACGAGCGCACTTGCGTGAACGTCCTCGGGAACGTGAACGTCTTGAGAGCGTCGGCCGCCGTATCTGCCACGCTCAACTTGCCTGGGGAGATGACGTGCCCCAGGTAGTGCACCTTCGGTCGGAAGAAGCTGCACTTCTTGAGCTTAAGGGACATACCGGAACTCCGCAGTAAGCAAGACGGTATCGAGATGCCTCGCGTGTTCTCCGTGCGTACGGAAGAACACGATAACGTCGTCGAGATAGACGAGGCATATTTGCCAGCGGACTCCGGAGAGTATTATGTCGAGCGCACGTTGGAAGGTGGCCGGTGCCCCTTTGAGTCCAAACGGCATGCGCAAGTGGCGAAACGTGCCCATGTGCGTCGTAAACGTGGTCTTATCCCGGTCTTCCGAAGCGACCAGGATCTGCCAATAACCGAAATTGCAGTCCAACGTGGTGAAGACGGCTGCATCTCCTAACGAGTCGATGCAGTCGTCCATCCGTGGCAGCGGATACGAATCCGCTGCGGTCTTCGCGTTGAGACGCCGGTAGCCCACGCAGAACCGAAGAGAGCCGTCCTTTTAAGGTACGAGCACCACGGGGGACGCCCATTCGGTGCTTGCCGGTTCGATAACCCCTGCGTTCAACATCTTGTTGACCTCCTTGGCGACCATTTCGCTCATGGCCGGGCCCTTCCGATAGGGCATAGAGCGAATCGGTTTCGTTCCCGGTTCGAGGGGAATGCGGTGCTCCGTGGCTTGGATCGTTCCAAGCGCACCGCTTCATAGACTGGAGTGCTTACGGAGCATCTCGAACACGTGGCCACGGGGCTTGTCATCGTCTATGTATGACAGGTCGATCTCTTTTTCCCAATCCATCGGTGGATTTTCGGGATCCTTTTGCTGGTGGAGTACAGTACTCCTCGCCGTCGGTTGGCATAAAGGTGACCGTTCGTCCGGGTCGACCCCCCTGCCCCTGGCGGTGGTCTTATCGTCGGAGTTGGATCGGCCAACTCCTACCACACCGACTTAGTCGGTCAAGTCGGTCAGTTGTAGCGCGTGCGCGATCCCTCGGCGACCTTACGTTCGGGAGTGAGGATCACGAGGGGGTTGCGCTTCGCGTATCCCACGACGGTGTGCTTCGGAAGCCTCTTTTCTCGTCGTGAGAAATTCGCGACGATGACGTCGAAGGTCTGATTCGGTGGGACCTCCGCGACGGCATTCGTCAGCCTCACTCCATGTCGGTGTTGGAGTGAGGGCTTGGGTTCCAGAAACACGAGGCCCCTCCCTGCGGTTGTCACACGCACGCGGGCTTGTGACATCGCGGGGATGGTAACCCAGCGGGCGATTCGGATCGCTTGCGGGGCCTCCTTGCGTACATCTGGCCGACCCGTGTGTCGCCCGTGTCGCCTGGTAGGGGGAGTCGACTCCCCCTTTCCGTCGACGACGGCGACGGAACCGCCTTGGCTTAGCTCCATTCGTTGAGCTTCGATGTCGATACATCGCACGTGCGTATCGATGAAGGCCGTGCCGAGGAGGACCGGCACGGCGAGCTGGTCCGCGACTACGAACGGAATTCGGAACACCGTGTTCCTCAACCGCACGGCCAGGCGGACGACGGCCGAAAGCTTGAGTGGGTCGCTGTTCGCGCCTGCCAGTCGTGGCAGAGGTGCGTCGTGCACGACGTAACGCGTCCAATCGGGCGGAAGGTCGGCCTTCCTCACCAGATTATACCCCGAGCACGTATCAACGGTGATCGTGCGGGGTTTAAATGCATTTCCCTCTGTGGCTATCGAGCCGAGGACGTTGTAAATCTTCGACGTCATAAGGCAAATGACGCCGTCGACAACCTTCGGGGCGGCCTTATCGGTCAGGTCGTTCCGCCGGGGCCTTCGATTTCGGTGCTGGCCCCGCTTGCGTTTCCTTCTCCCCCTTTCTTGGGGCGTCCGTGGATCAGTGACGCCCCCCGGATTATTCGGGTTCGTACGACACGGACCCCTCTCCGGCGACCTTGGGTTCGCGGGAGTCAGGGGGTAGACCGAATCTTTTCGCTCGTCGTTGCCCTCGTCGCCATCTTTACACCTCACCGGAACGTCGGCTGTCCCGGTGTCTTGTCCTCCTAACGTCGAGCCTTCGGAGGCCTCGACGTGCGCTCCCTCCTGTATCGGCATTACAGGAGCTCCCGTGCTCGCCTCCGGTAGCGGGGGATGTATTATCGGACAATATCGCCCGTGTCCTTGGCGAGCACGCAGGGTCGGGTCTAGTTCGTGGGGAAAAGACGGCTCACGCGACCGCGTGTACGTAACCGTCTTTACACTTTTTTCGAACTACCCGTGCTACCGGAGCAAACCTCCTGGCTATCGACGGCCAGGTCTTCTTCGGGTACCCGGCCGCGTGGGTCGGAACGATTCCCTCACTGCGGCTCGGCAGCCTTGGCGAAGTACTCGGGTACTTCCGGGCCTTGACCTGCGGCGTCCGGTCGTCGCAGGATATAGGGGACGAAGCGAGGCGGCTCTCCTTCGTGACCCTCCCTGGGTAGAGGGTACGGATCCTCTACCCAGTCTTGCAGGTACATTATCGCATTTTGTACCTGTTGGGGTAACCGAGAACGGTCTCGGTCCGCTCTCTCGTCTTGGCGCGGGTATCTTGTGTCCGCCTGGCGGTAGGCGGGTCCATCTCGACGATGGACTTCGTTACGACGGTACCCGCTTCCACGGGGGGCGAAGCGGGCGCCCCCACCCGATCGGTTCGGGAAACCTTGACGCGGGGGACGGCCTTCGCCCGCCGCTTGCCGGACGAGATTACGCGCACCGGGGCGCGTCTCCATCTGGTAGCGGTAGTTCCTGTACGCCGTGAACATTCGTTGTTCCGGCGACAGCAACGGGCACGCGTACATGGCATGCCCGTACGTACGGCATAGCCAGCACACGAACGCACTGCCGTCCGTTGAGACGAAGGTCGCCGCGTGCCGCGCCTCCTCATCGGTGAGGAGGGGCACGCGAGGCGCTTCGCCTCCTGCATCTCGGTTCGATATGTCGAGCTCTGCGACCCGGGGGTCCGTACCCCTTGCCACTCTTGGAGTGACCGCGAACGCGGTCGCGTAATTCGATGTCGTTCCGGTCGACATCGGTGAGGGGGGTCGACCCCCCACTGGCCCTGCTCCTTGCGTAATGAGGACAGGGTCGGCCTGCCACTCATCCTCCCCAACATGGACGGTAGAGGCGGGCAAACTTGTTGCGGCGGACTTCGTATTCCTGCCAGCCCTCCCTGCCGGTTTCGAATCCGGCAGAGGTAAACCGCGCCGAGCGCGGTACGTTGTACCTTCCGCCGTGGCGATACGGCGGATGGTCGGAAGATCGTTCTTCTGACTGCCTGGCAGCCTTTGCACAGTTTCGGATACTGCAGCACGGGTTGCCGGTGCAAGTCCCCGCACGAAGTAGTGCGCGAGGGACTGTTCGGAGAAGACTGCCGTGCATCGGAACGCGGCAGTCTCGAGTCGATCAGCAAACGTGCTTTCCGTCTCATGCGATTGCTGTCGCGCCGTAGCGACAGCGTCTTATGCTTCACCTAACACGTCGTCCGTGAGGCAGCGTTTTAAGAATTGATTCACGAGCCCCGGCCAGCTCACGTCGTCGTGGAGCTGGCCGGCGCGGAGTCCACGCATCGTATAACTCGTATACAGGCGCTCCGCGTTGCGCTCGAGGAAGTGCGCGAGGAAACACCTTCGGTCAGGTGTTGCGAGTTGAAGGTGATTCGGACATCCTTCAAGAACGGCAGCAGCTGGATCGGGTCGGTACCGTCGAAGCTGCGCATCGCGGGACGGATCCCACGACAACGTTGGACGTACTTCGCGATCCGTCCCGCGTCACCCGAGGTAACGAGCCTCGAGGTGTTGTCCAAGCGGTACATACGATAGTCAGCAACGGCGCTGAACTCTTGGATCATCGTATGTACCGGCTCGAGCTCAGGTTCAGCGGGACCCAGCGTGCCAAAGGAGGTAACCGGTAGCGTACGGACGACTACCGGACCTGGATGCTCGGCGTAGTTCGCCGGCGGGTAGCCGCCCCAGCGGGGATCGACGGAGAACATCGGTTCTCCGGATCCGCGGGCGGCTCCTCCACGGTCCTGTTCGTCCGCGTACGATACGCGGTCCACTTGCCGCCTACTTCCGGCGATAGGCGGCAAGGCTTGGGTCTCAGACGCGAAGTTCACGTCTTTCGGAGGACGGCTTCCTTCTGCAGTTCGACTGGTAGCGGCACCAGTCGGACGCCAACCTTCGAGTGCGGCGGCGCTCGGAGGTACGGTACCACCGGGCCCTCTCGACGGAGCACCGGGTAGCTGTTCGGCCATGGTACGTTCCATGTCACGAGCACGCCGACGAGTGGCGTTGAGCTCAGTCGAGATGTGCGCGAACGCACCCAATTGCTCTGCGGACGGAGAGGTTCGGTCCTGGGGTCGTCTCACCGAGGTCGGCCTCTCAGGGCGACCTTGCCCGGACGGTCCGGGCGAGGCGAAATGGGAGTCTTCGACGAGCACTATCCGCGAGTGTAACTCGTCGATCAGTGCTCGGAGATTCTCTAAGGACTGCGTCACACTATCGAACCTCTCTTCACGCAGGGGGCGGAGTTCGGCCATACATCGAGTGTATACATGGTCCGATACATCGATCCGAAGGGAAGTACGGACTTCTTCGATGTATTCGGCTATGCGTTCGAACATCGCCGCCGCTCTTTCCTCGGAGGATCCGAGCGACGGTTCGCGGTCATGAGGACCTGCGTCGCCGTCGCCCGAAGGGGCGGATGGGGACTACACAGCGGCCGGACTCAGATCTGCCGCTTCGGAGCGGATCGAGGGCTCAAACTCTTGGCTCATCTCGACGCGATCGGTTCGCGGAGGGAAGCGGAAGTCTTCTCGGAGATCGGACTCCAGGGTCTTCTAGGTCGGGAGACCACTGTAGCATAAACACCCCCAGCGGAGAGGGGTGTATGCACAGCTCGACGTAGACCCCGTCCGAACGGGAAGACGGGGGTGAAGCGGGACACCAGCTAACGGCACCGGGCAGCGGGCCCGGGTAGCCTGGTAGAGCGGGAACGGGGATGACGCCGGTACGCGCGAGCGGTTCGACGCCTCGACGCCCCGGCGCGGTACTGGGTAACGATCCAGTACCGACGGGCGGAGGCGGAGCCGGCTCGTGGGCGTACCGCGCGCGTCCTCAACCCGCGCTCGGTGCCGCTCTAAGGTAGTTAGCGAACGCTACCTTAGAATAAGCGGGAAGTCGGACCTTGACGGTCGGTGGGTGACAAGTCCGTGCTTGTCCTCCTCCACCGCCGCCGGTCCGCTCCATATTTAATATA